ATGTTGATAGGGCTATTAAGGAGAAATATTTTCCAGCAGCTGTTGACTTCATCAATTCCACAATTCAATGAGTCACTCTAACTTCTAGAGCTACACAGTTACAACTGAGGAAGTGTGGGTTTTTTTGTTTTTTTGTTTTTTTTTAATCGTGATGAGAAGAGTGGGAAGAGTTAGACTTGGAGAAAATGAAAAAAATGTAGCCAACCTAAAGAGGGACAGCATGCTATAGAATCTGAGTAATCCACATGCAAAGAGAAAGAAAGAAAGGAAGAAAGAAAGAAAAAAAGAAAGAAAGAAAGAAAGAAAGAAAGAAAGAAAGAAAGAAAGAAAGAAAGAAAGAGTGCATCTACCAAGTGCTTTAATGGACCAACTGGGAGGCAGGGGACTGGAAACTGTGGAAAGGGTAGAATTTCTGCAACATAAAAAAATACCCTAATAACCTCTTTTTTTAGCGTTCAAAGCATGGCAGCAGCTGCCAGCCAGAGCCATCCTGTGAGCTTCTAATAAAGGAGCCTGCTCCCTGCCTTCGGCTGTATTAATTATGCCAATTATCAATGAGTTAACAGCTATTCCAGGCATTGGTCAGCACTCCTTTCAAGTATATCTCTTATATCCCATATCATATTTCCCAGTGTCTTGGAAAAGATGACATTCAATTACCTGCCAACTCTCAGTCAGGAGCCTGGGCAGACTGTGTAACACAAGGGTGCATTCTGCGATGCGCACAGCCAGTCTCTACTGTGAAGGGTGTCATTTGGGGCTTGGTAGAGACTTTTCTTCTGCCCATTTATTGAGCCCATGCCATACTCTAGAGAATATCCTAAACATTTTATAAATATCACCAGCAAGCCCTGCCTTTTGTATTACTGAAGTCAAACGATACCATTGATCTGTTTTAAAGATTAGGAAACCAAAGCTCAGAGAAGGTCAATAACTCAATCTGGGTCAGCTAATGAATTTAAGACCCATGACTGTCAGCTTTTAAGTTTTTCTGCATGGAAAAACTCATATTATCCTTGGGAGAGTGTACAAAAGTGTAGCTCCATTTTAAAGCCCCATGGCGGCATTGTATGTCATCAGCCAGAAAAATAAAAAGTAAATGGTTGAAAGAGATGGAAACAATATATTTATTATGGAGTATGTGATTCTGTTAACAGCATTGTTCACTTTATTTCCTAAATAGGAATTAATGGGGCAATGAGTTAGCATTACTGGGAATAGGAAGGTCAACAAAGCAAAGGTCTTTGTCTTCATGTAAAGCACCCATGGTAGGAAATGCAAGATCAGATGGATTCATATTTTGCTGTCTTCTGCTGGAAAAAATAGCTTTTCATAAAATAAAAACTTTTTATAATAGATTGTATAGCTTAATAGTTTGCCCTGTAGGATCCCTGAGAGCCTTGGAGTAGATTAGGGATTGGTGTGGCACTTCTCTGCAGACAAGTTCTGGTTGAACTTCTTTTTGTATTGATTCTCAGCCTAACACTTTGACTACCATGCTCCATCACAGAGAAAATCTAAAACCTGCTGTGTGGCTTGATGAAACAAATGCATATTTTATACAGACTTAGATTATAAAGGGACTATTGGTGTGTGCTTTTATAATTATTACTTAAATATATGGGTAGTAATATTTAATTTTGTATTTTATTTTAATTGTGTATATGTGTATATTTTATGAGTGAAAGAGCCCACTGAGCATAGAAAAGGGTTTTGGGTCCCTTAGAGTCAGAGTTACCAGAAGTTTCAAGGTGCCTGATGCAGGTGCTGAGAACCAAAAAGCACCATCTCCATGGGCATTACAAGCTCTTTACTGCTGAGCCATTACTGCTGATGGATTGCAACTCTACCCTGAGTTGTAATATTCTTAAAAAGCAGTCTTAACAGAGTAGATGACCAAACACAGGAAACATGTATCAGGGCCATGAATAAATACCCATTAAAATATATAATGACCTCGCAGACTTTCACACCCTTTTAAGAGCAGCCAGTAATAACTTGCATGACACAAAAAGGAAAAATATGGCAGCATCTTTCATATTCCTGGGGAGGAAATAAACTTAAGGGTGAGGTTATCAACACTCAGACAAATGTCTGAAAGGCTGTAAAATACTGCTCAAGCAATTGCCAGTGAAGTGTCAACCTTCCTCTGGCTTGTATGTTGGACTCGAGAAATTTCTTTAGCTCTTATTTGACTTTCAACTCCAACCTTAAACAGTGATTAAAGAAAATAAGCAGGAAAAGAAGCAGAAACTTATAATCAAGCCTAAGGTAACTTCAGAACAAACTGTGGCTTTGGATAAGTCATACCACTCTCCTTTGGAAGTCATACTTCCTTGTTAGGTTATGATATGTGTTAAAGCTGAAAATTACTAAACAGACTCAGACCTCTTTGAAATAAGGAAGATTCAGGATGTCTCTTGCTACCCAAACTTTAATTTACTTTTCTAGAATCCCAGAGTCACTTACCCAGTTTTCTTAACATATCCAAACCTTTCTCTGGCCTTCTTTTATAAAATACATCTGTTTTGTGTTCTTCAATAACCCAAGCCAACAATTCCCCAAATATAAGTGATTTTTTTAACCTTAAGGTCACACCAGTTATGTTACCATTACTGTTCCTGAATTCAGTGGGTGACATCTTATTGGTTCAAGCTAGATCGTAGGGTCAACTAAGATTTGTGTTCCATCCTGGGAGCAAAGTGCCCAGGTTTGAGTCAATTAGGAAGTTTATTAGAAATCTGGATATAACAGGAAAACTGGTAGACAGCCCTCTTCACTATCTATATATCCATAAAACACTAGTCTTACAACCCCATTTGTAGAAAGGAAGACAAAACCACCAAGACCTTCTCAGTGCAAGTGCTCTCTCTTATTAACCAATGCTGCAAAATTTCAAAACATATGCAAATACAATAATGTAGCATCTATATCAACAGCAGAAGCAGACTCAGGCCCACAGAGAATGAAGATATATGAAAGGTCACTAAAGTTAGAAAACATCTTAAAATAGTCTTGTATCTCAACAGTAACAGTTTCACTTCTGAAGAACTTCCTCCCTGCCAGTGACATTGATGAGAGCCAAAAATGAACCTGAGAGAGTTAAATCCTTGGCCAGGCCTGAGTGGCTCTGGAGAGCTTCCCGTGCCCTCACGACTCAATAGTTAACATATTTCTGTTTCATACAAGTCTCAAAAGCACAGTGCCCATAAGCCATTGCCTACAAATGAAGTAAGTTATCTCACTGTAAAGGATGTAACTGCTCCATTATCTGTATGATTAAAATGAAAATGCTAAAGGGAGAAGAGACCCAACAGAAGAAGTTTCAATAAAAGGTCTTTACCCTAAAAACTCTGGGACCATTAGGAAGCCTAACTGTACACTCCACCTGACCTCTGGTGAGGGTGTGATCAGAAAGGGAGATTCTCTCAGCTTTACTCAGCAGAGCACAGTGAGAGGCATCCTTGGCATGAGGTCTAATTGCCTGCCCTATGATTAATGTTGCTAAGCAAATTTGTGTGTTGTCACGGTTCCCACCCTCTGGTCCACGCTCATTTAGAAAATGGAGCAAAGGGAACCCCAATGCTTTGAGAATGTCAATGCAAAATTATAATAATTGCTCATTACATAATACAGTTATTAAAGTACTTTCTGTTGTTGAAGGAACAGGCATGCACATTGATTGAGAAGACAGAAGAAATTGACATAATTATGTTTTTCTCTAATAACTTCTCCAAGCAGAGAAAGCTACTCTGGCTCCAAAGACCATGAGACATTTTCTCTTATCTCTATTGAACTGTAAACTACTGGGAAAGGTGGGATGGTAGAGTCCAATTTTTTAGGCCTCTTTGTATCTAGAGAATTTAGCATAATGACTAGTACACTAAATACCTACCAAAATAATGCTTTAAACTATGCCCTGTTAAAGAACACACTGCTCAGAATGTACCTTGCCACATGGCAAAGGTTTGCTGTATCCCACAATTACAAGTCCTTCTAAGTGGCCTATGTCTAGTTGCTTCATAGTTTTGTGAGTCTGAATCCCTATTGTCCAGTAAATATCTTGTGATAGTGGAAATGGTCTACACTCATTTTTTAAATTGGAGACTTTTAAAGTTTCTTCCTTTATGAGTCACTAGTCATTGTGACTATTGTATATTTGAACTACAACTAGTGTGAGGAAAAAATAACTTCATTTATCTCTATTAATTTATGTTTGACTCAACCATTGTTTATGATTACCATTCTAGACAGAGAAGAAATAGATTATAGATTATGACTTGCACATAGTAGTTACTATTTGAATGTTTCTGAATTAGTGAATGAATGAAAATGAATGAACACACACAACCAATCCCTCTGTAAACCTGCACCCTGCGCATAGCTCTCAGCTGCAGAGCTAAAAACACTTCCTATGCACAGATTTCCCTGCATTGGGTCAACACAATTTGATCACAGTATAGGGAGGATATCTGTAGTTAGTACAGATTTGTTTTGTCCCAAATGTCTGTAAAGGATCTTAGAAAAGTCAACATAGAGGATCTTCTGAGTCACCGAAGGAATGGAAAAGCAAGACAAGAGGGCAATCTGGGGGGTGTCTTCCAAGACCGAGAAGACAAGCGTGTGTGGGCACCACAGGCACAGGTAGCCTGTACCCTGTTTCCCTGCAGCACCCACAATGGGATATGACCCCAATGGAGAATATCCAGCTGCTCCTAAAGGGACTTTGTGATGGCATCAGTGCGGTGGAAGAGCAGCCCCGCCTGCTTCCTTAAGGAAGACACAGCTCTGTAGCCAAATGTGTCAACTGTGGATTGTGAGAAATCAAATAGGACCTTCACATGGCACATTGAAGGACACTGCCATGATAAAGTTTGACCTTCCCACCAGATGGGCAGAATAATGGCTTGGACCATGTTCAAGTTGTACAGGGAAAGGAAAGAAATGTAACATTACTCACATCCTGTGTTTTAAAATAAAATCATATTGCTAACCACTTTATGACTGTGATTCAAAGCAGGGCTACCTTCCTTCCCACCCCTGTAGAGACCATGGTGAAGTGGATTTTTAACTCCTCCTTTGCCACGCACCACACGCATCACCTCCAAGAGAGCTGAGTACAGTGTTAAGACAGTTACACTATGCTTCGGAGCTGTGTTCACTGCTGCTTCTTTTGGCCCATGAACAGTTTGTTAGATCAGGTGAGTATAATTAGGGAACTGATGTAAGGGAATTTGGTCATTCATGAGTTGTGTGTTCCTCTAGTAAATAATGATCATCTCCTGAAGCCATGAACAGGTGGGAATTTAATTCCTCTCCTTCACAAGCTTTTTACTTGGTGACAAATCGTGTTGACGGCACATCTAAGGTGAAAATTGTCACATGTTCAAATACTAAACATAGTCTTTGAAACAATAGTGTAACTTGGTGCATGAATGTAATGAAGTGCCAGGCCATACCATATGAAAGTTTCGGTGTATCAATAACCCAGTGAAGAAATGGGAGTTTGGTGGGTCACAGTGTGTGTGGACTTGGGTGAAGCCATGGTTGAAAAATACCACTGAGAAGGAAACAGTCTGTGTTGCTTTTTTCCAGATTTTTCCTTCCTTCCTGTTGTTTTTACAAGGGCAGAAGTGCCTACACAGTATTTCCTGTTACTTACATAACTTGATTGCCATTCACTCCATTAGCTGGTGTTAATTACTAGTTTTCCTCGTGTTACTTAGCAGACTTTACTGTGCTTGATGGAAATAACACTATAACAGGACGGTCAGTTGGTTAGGGTCTTTTTAACACTGGCTGAAGATTTTTGAATCATGAATTTCTGAATCATGATTCTTGAATCACGAATTAACTGTCCATCACTAAGCTGTTCTGTAACACACAACACACACACACACACACACACACACACACACACACACACACATGCACACCATTGCCATCACCACCACCGCTACCATGACAAGCCCCCACCACACACCCCTCTGTTAGAACTTTAAGATTATAACATAGTTTATAGATAGTATAATGATCTGCTTTCCTTCAAGAACTGCTAAAGAGCTCTCCCTCTGACCCACTGGGTGGTTTAAATTTTTCTTGCCACGTGGTATCTGTCCCTCTAGAATTGTAAGATAAAACAAACTTTCTCTTCAATAAATTGCTTTTGGTCATGGGATTTCATCAGAGCCTCAGAAAAGTAACTACTAATATGGCATCCATGAGAGTTCTGTTGGTACAACCTGATCAGCCCCAAAGTCCTCATCCCCTAATGCCATTGGGTCAAAATTTCAACATGTGAATTTGGAATGGACACAAACACTTAGACAGGCCTGTGCTTCCTGGATTGCGTGGAGGAGGGAAGTGTAGGTAATGCTGTACTTCTCAACTTTGGCCAGTTGAAAGGGCTAGAGACTCACACCTTACTCTGCTCCCCAGCTAAGTGTATGGAGTCTCACAGAGCACAGCAACCCCTTCCATCAGCTTACAGTTCCTTCAAGTGGTTGGGTTGGTCAAGTACTAAAAATTCAGCTGAGCTTCCACCACATTGTTCTCGAGACCATTAAGCCTTTCCCCTGTTTAGACTCCGATCCTTTGGCTCTGACCTTCCTACTTTGCATCACTCTCTGGTCCTCCCGAGTTATTTCCAGACTTCAGGACTCTCCACTGCTTGAGGATCAGCATCTATGATGGGTTAATAAACATCTGCAAAGCTGGGCAATGGACTTTGGCCATTATGGCAGAAGCTGGCTAACTAGCCCCTGCATGAAGATCTGCTTCTCTTTCTGGTCACACAATAGCCTCCCTGTGCCAGCATTCCTTCTATTGGCCATGTACCTCAGATCTGGTACTAGAACTTAAGCAGAAATTGTGTATTGTCTTTCTAGACTTGAACTACAGCACTTTCATCTTGGACCTACCAGTCATCTCTGGATATTGGCTGGAGGTCTCAGTCAAGAGATTCTGTGAAACTTCAGTGCTAAAATAGCAAAGCCTGCTTTAGCTCAGGCTGTCAAAAGACTGCATAGAGGCCTATGCCATGCCCATCTATCTCCACACAGCACTAATGTCTCTTCTATGAGTAAGAATTTCCACTAAACTGGTCCACAAAATTTCAGGGTTTATCTGTCACAGCAGCTGGCCTTACATTATTGAATTGTCATCCATAACAAGGGCAATGTTGGCAATGCCCAAGTCGATTACCCCAGCTGTTTGCAGCTTGCCTCTCCCCACCACAGTCATGGATGTCCCTGCTTTCCTTCCTGCGGAGGCAGTTCTGGACATATAGGGTGAGCAGATGAGTGGGAGGAACTGTCAAGAGATGCTTCTCCAGGGAAAGTCCAACTTTTCCATGCTTTATAACTAGAATTTTCCATGGTCACACAATGAGTCACTGCTAAGCCAGCGTTTGGGTTTTTTTTTCCTTCCTCTACTGGGGCATCTGTCCTCCTTCGGGGTGGGGATCTCTGTCCACTAGTGGAGTTATAGTGGAAAGATGAATAATAAGAATAGACCAGAGCAAGGGTTCCTACCTTCTGATGGAACCATTGGGAAGGCAAATCACAGAAGTTTCTGGCAAGTGGGGAAACTTAAAAGCAGCTGGGTAGTCTTCTTTTGGTTTAAATATAGCATTGTTTCCATCTTTTGTCCAGATGTCTTTATGCCATCATTATTTTCATGTCATCGGAAATGCACATTGTCACGATTTAGTCTCTAAGCCATGTTGCCCAACTTACGTCTACACAGAATTAAATTGGTAAGCCCTTTCCTGTGGAATTAGCACTTAGCATCGAAGCTGCTGCCACCCAGGTCCATAGCAAATGACTTTAAGACCTGGAAAAGGGAAAGACACCGTAGTAAGGTGTCATGGAGACCCTTGGTTTCTCCAGAAAAGAGTTTAGCTTGCCTTACCCTTGGGGAATTCAGGAATGCTTCATCAGCCCTACCCAGGGTGATTGATTCCTCAGAACAGTGTAAAGCACACAGGGCAGAGAGAGAGAGAAAATGAGGAGAAGGAGGCTCATGAGGCATTGAAAGCCTCCCTATAGAGAAATGTCTAGGCCTGAAGTAAGTGCTCCACCGGGCCTGCAGTTAGTACAGCAGTATTATACTAACAGTTGGGCAGTACCAACTCTGCTCCTTGGCATGTCACCAGCCTTGGCAAGCCCTGTGAGGCCAAACGTTTTTCTCATTGTAGCAGAGCTCTGACTCATTAACTTAAAAAAAAGAAAAGAAAAAGAAACATGGGAACAATAAGACTCAAGGGGATAGCAGAGTTCCCAAAAAAAAAATATTAAAAGAAAGAGGTGGGGGTAAGGCAGCGAGCATTCCTGCAGGCTGAATAAAAAGACGAAAGTCCTGGAAAAGTTTCTTAGGAGGCCTCCAGCGAGCTCTCTTTTCCTAGTGCACAAGCCCAGATGGCACCCAATCCAACTTTGTAATCTCCATTGAGTTATATAAATTGCAAGCTTGCAGGGTTTGTTGTTGTTTGTTTTTACTGAGTGTTTGAAAAATGAGAAACTCTTCAGTGCTGACCAAAGACCAGCTCAGTGTCTCATTTGCAACAGTCTCTGTAGAGCTGAGGTGGAATTATAGAAGACCCCATGCAAGCCAAGTTTGACTTTAGTCTAGATACATGTTGTGTGATTTTTATTCATTTAGTCAATGACTTTTGGGGCAACAAACCCCAGGACATGGTCTTTGTCTGTCTACGTGACAACTTATAAGCTGAAGGGTAGGGTCTCTAGCCCTCTTGCTCTCGCACTCTCATGGATGGTCAGAGCAGAGCAGGCTGGAACTCTTCACTCCTGGCTTCACATCTGGGTCACTGACAGCATCTAAACTGTTCCATAATAGTGAGTGTGTACCCTATTTGTAGCTAAATAAATTCTTGAGAATAAGACTCTCATGGATTCACACAACAGAGTTTGGCTAATTTCCAACCAATTCTGTCCTAATTCTATAAATAACTTTATTCAAGCTTAGGGAGGTTTCAGAGCCAGATAGTCTTTGGGAGTTATAAAGGGCATAGGATCTTTTGTCACAGTTTCTAAATGTTGTCATCTTAGTCCCAAATCAGCCAGAGACAACGGGTGAATAAGTGGGAATCGCTGTGTAACAAAATTCCTTCATGGGGATGATTCAGGTAGTCAGCATAGCCTGTGCCCATGATTCTTTTGGTCCTTGACTTAGTGGTGGGAAAGGAGCAACACAAGTGATGCTGGGCTCCACCCAGTCCTGTGGCCAAGCTGCATCCACTTCACATCCACAAACAATCTCTCAAATAATCCCTCTCCTGACCAGCTAAGCATGTACGAGGAGATCAGCCAATTTCTTTATGTCTTCCAGCACCAAGAAACTACCAACTCAAGTTGTCACTTCATAATAGAGAATAGTTAGCAGAAATATGCAAACAGTAAATTCTTTTCAGCTGAGCACAAAGCAGGAGAGAAGCGCCTGCATTTGTAGGACTAGGAGTCTTAGTCAAATTAGCGAAAATTAGGCTACTGTAAAGCCAGGTTTCCTTGACTATAGGTTGATCTGGTTCCAGGGACATGATAGGAGATTGGTGTCCCAGGAAGCACTGAAACCCAGAGCTCTGAGTGAATTCTCTCCTGGAAGCCTGTTCTCCCCACTAACTCTTCTCTAAATGTTGAGTGACCCACCCAAATGTGGACATCTTACTTTCATCGTATATGGTTGCTCTTTGAGAAAATACAAAAGGAATAGCCTACCTGCTGATGGTATACAGACTTAAAAAATAACTCATCCATATATATATAATATATAAAATATTTATTTCCCCCCAAGAAGATGGGACACCCTCACTACAACACATAAAATCTAAACATCAAGATCATCACCCTGGCTCTTTACAAGGCAAAAAGCATAGAGTTAGATGAAAAAGAAAAGGGGGGTTCCTGTTTTGTTTGGGCTGCTTTGCTTTGTTCTGTTCTATTCTTAAAAAAAATGACTTTTATAAGGTAGGGATTCTGAAAGTGGCCAACACTTGATTCTGATCTAGCAAAGGACAAGTACAGAAACAGGCATACCCAATCTCAAATGTGAGTGTAAGACTTGATACTGGGAAAGATGTCAAAAAAAAAAAAAGTAAATGGACCAATGACCAAATCCTGGTCAACTCTGCCTGTCTCTAATGGACAGTAGTTTGTAGGAAGCAAGAGCCTTTTGAACAATGAACATCAGAAGAGATATTTTCATTATTTCCATCCTTGCATTTAGGCCCTACCATCCTTCAGTATGCCTGTCTTCACCTCCATAGCAGATGGAATCAGTACCAATTAGAAGCCCAAGCTTTAGTTTGGGGATCCCAAGTCCTGGATTAGGCCCTGGTCAGAGGCAAAATATGTTCTGAGAGAAGAGATTGGGACAGCAGATCAGGACCCCAGTCTCAGAGCATCAGGTCAGTGCCTGTTATGGGATATAGGACTCTTCACAGACACCTGTCACCTGCCCTTAACAAAATGGGGATGGAAGACAGCAATGTCATAAGTTCTAGACCCAGCTAGCACTGGTAAGTATGACTAAAACTAAACATTTCCCTTGGATCTAAACAAAGCTGAACTACAGGTGACGCTCTCAGATCAAAGGGAATAAAAGATCTGGATGCCAGCCAAAGTATCCACACCATAATCCATTCAACTTCTTTCCCCTTCATTTTTACTACTTTCTAATAGAAGTAAAATACACATAACATAATTTTATTGTCTACATCATTTTCTGTATATAGTTGGTAGTGTTAAACATATTCTCCATTCTAGAGTGGTGAGTACATCCATACTGTTGAATAATTGATCTTCAGAATCTTCCTACCTTGCAGAACTGAAGCTCTCTCTTCATTAGACAGTTCAATTTCTGCCCAACCAACCCTGAACAGCCACTGTTCAGCTCTCTACCTCTGTAGGTTTGTCTCTTTATGTACTTAATGGCAGAGGAACCATGGTATTTACTCTTTTGAGAACCACCATTCTGCTCTCTGTTTCTGTAGGTTTTCTACTTAGGCACTTCATGGAAGTGAAATCACATGGTTTTTATTCTCTTGAGAATGGTTTATTCACCAAGCATTGCATCTTCAAAGTTATAATGCCAGAACGCCCCCCTTTTTGATTTTCCAAGAAAGGGTTTCTCTGTATAACAGCCCTGGCTGTCCTGGAGAACCACTCTGTAAACCAGGCTGGCCTGGAACTCACAGAGATCCAGCTGCCTCTGCCTCCAGAGTCCTGGGATTAAAGGTGTGCACCACACCACCCAGCCAGAATGTCCTTTCCTAAGGCTGAACATTGCTTCATTTGTACATATTGTTTACCATAGATCCTCTTACTTATCCCTCTGTCTGTCTGTCCATCCATCCATCTTCCCACTCGTATCATTTGGGCTACTTTCAGCTATTACCAAGAATGTTACTATGAGTCACACAAAACCTGCACAAGCTAGACAGGGTAACAGTACTGAGAGGTGGGCACTGAACTTGGAGTCCCACCCCAAACCAAGAAGTCATCTACATACATCAACCACACCTCAGGGACAGCCCCATGATCAGGAGCAGTTAACAGGTCCAAAACAAGCTCAAAGATATTTTTGTGGACTTCTCTTCTATCCTGCTGTGTTTTGGCACTTTCTGTCTTGTTGGTCTTTTTTGTTTGTTTTGTTTTTCATTTTTGTATTTTTTGTGTGGGGTTGTGTTTCTTGGGGGTTTTGTTTCTTGTTTTTTTTTTCCTTTCTTTTGTTCTATTTAAATTAGATCCAAGCTTGTTTTACATGTCAATCCCAGTTCCCTCTCCCTCCTCTCCTCCCCTGTCCTCCACTAACACCCTACCTATCCCTGTACCCTTTCTGCTCCCCAGGGAGGGTGAGGCCTTCCATGGGGGATCTTAAAAGTCTGTCATATCATTTGGAGCAGGGCCTAGAACCTCCCTGTGTGTCTAGGCTGACAGAATATCCCTCTATATGGAGTGTGCTCCCAAAGTCCATTCATGTACTAGGGATAAATACTGATCCACTATCAGAGGCCCCATAGATTAACCAGACTTCCAAACTGGCACCCACAATCAAGGGGTCTGGGTTGGTCCTATGCTGGTTTCCCAGCTATCAGTATGGGTTCAATGAGCTCCCCCTTGTTCAGGTCAGCTGTTTCTGTGGGTTTCACCAGCCTTGTCTTGATCCCTTTACTCATCACCCCTCCTTCTCTGCAATTGGATTCCAGAGTTCAGTTCAGTGTTTAGCTGTGGGTATCTGCTTCTGCTTCCATCAGCTCCTGGATGAAGGCTCTAGGATGGCATATAAGGTAGTCATCAATCTCAATATCAGAGAGGGGCATTTAAGGAAGATTGTTAGTTGGGGTCACCCTTGTAGATCTCTGGACCTTTCCCTAGTGTCTGAACTCTCTTTAAACCTATAGTGTCTCCCTCTATTATGGTGTCTCTTTTCTTGCTCTCCTCTATTCCTCCCCTGACTCCATCTTCCTTCTCTCTCATGTCTTCCTCTCTCCTCTTCTCCCCTTCTCTTTCTCCTAACTCCCTCTCCCCTCCCCCATGCTCCCAATTAGCTCAGGAGATCTTGTTTTTGGAAAGAGATTAAAAAAAAAAAAAAAAAAAAAAAAAAAAAAAACATGAAGTTGGGTGGGTAGGGAAGTGGGAGACCCTGGGAAGAACTTGGAGAGGGGAAACATGTTCAAAATAATTGGTAAACAATTTTCTTCAATAAAAAGTAGTGCTGCTTTGAACATGGAAGCACAAATGTGCTGATATCTATCAGTTCTCTTGGGCGCACAGCGAGCCCAGTGTAGTAACTTCCTCATAGTCTTCCCTCCTGACGTCTTTGGCTTCTCCTGAGCAGCCTTGACTCTTCGGCACTTTTCAGAGTGAGAGTGCTCACCGACCTTCCGGCAGAAAAGATTTTTCCCCTCTTTTATCTCTGTCATTGTAGATGCCACCTCCTCTGTATCTGAAAATTCTTAAGCTTGAAATATTTTCCTGCATTATCAGGCACTCATTTATCTATTAAAGAAATATTTTCTATGAGCCTGAGACCTACAGCCCGACAAGATAATGGCCTTGTGAAAAGTGCCGAGGCAAAGAGCATTCAGAGTTGAATATGTGAAGAAGTGTTCCGTTAATCTGGTCTCACCTCCCCTGTTTTAATACTATAGGCTTTTCTACCCTGAACACATGTTTATCTTCAACAGCCAGAGATGTTGCCTGGCAACTCCTTAGTCCTTCAGTGAAGAAAGAGTTCTGCTTTTATATATCAGTGTGCAATCTTTTGAGAAACACGAGCTCCATCATGAAGGTGAAAATCTAAAAACCTCCTCTTCCATAGGGAAACACTTCCAATCTGCCCCCCTCTCCCTGTCTCTTTGTCCATGTGTGTCTGTGTCTCTTTCTCTCTGTCTCTCTAAGTCTCTTTTCCTCTCTTCTTTCCTCTTTCTCTCCCTCTCTCTCTTTCTTTTCCCAAATGTTTTACTTGACAAATCACTCTAGATGCCTTTTAAGAGCCACCTCTTAGTATTTCATAATAATAATAATAATAATAATAATAATAATAATAATAATAATCTCACAGTTTTAGAGATTTCAGTGGGCGATCTGATGATCCCTTGCTTTGGGCTTGCCACAGCACGATGTGACAGAAACACAAGACACAGAGTGCAAAACCACTCTCAAAAGAGCCCAGTGCCCTTCTTAGGCACTCTCTTGATTTGAAAGTCCGCTGCTACACCCTCCCTATTAAAGGTTCCACTACCCCACTGCCCCCAACAGTGCCAAGCTGGAGACCAAGTCCCAAACTGGAAAATTTGGGAGCATACTTCATATCTGCCCCTAAGTTGAGCTTTCAGTGTAAAAGAAAAGCTTCCAGTAGGACAAAGAATCATCTAACAAGTCATACTCATGTTTAAAGGCACCTAAAATCAAGAAAACTTACTGGGGGGTTGCTTGTTGCATTTACTATTTCAATATTTGTGGATATTTGAAGTAAATATTTTATTTACTTTATTTTATTAAAATGTTTTTCAAAAATAATGACACAAAATAACAAGAGCGTGTTTCATTTCATGGTTAAGGCTGAATCCTGCATGGAAGACGGTCAATGAAAAACCAGTGCGTAGACTGCCATCTACTGGACAACCAGAAAACAAACTGCTGAGTCGCCCTAGGACCTTGAGCAACAAAGGCAAAAAGGCAAAATTATGAATACATCAGTGGAACAGACAGGAGCATGTAGGCACAACAATGGTCCAGTTTGAAATGATTATTTGCAAAAGAGTGTACATTTCTACTTTCAATGTTTGTACAGAGTCACTGGAGTTATGACAATAAAATGATTTTCAAATTGTGATTCCTTGATACACCCAGGGAGCAGAGACGACTCAGAACTTCTAGTGACATATCAAAAACAGATATGAGGAATGTTCCCTTCCCCAGAATAAGAACAGAACGGTATTCTCTTTAATCACCATGTTATGAAGGTGTACATGCTAAGCCTGGGGACCATTCTGCCCAGTAAAGAGAACTTAGTACTCTCTAAGGACTTAGGCTCAGTCACACACTGGATTACTAATAAACACCCGTCTTTACTTCAGAAGCTACTGTCAGGTTTTGCAACACCTTGTGGCCATTTTTTAAATTATTATTTGTAATATTACTATCAAAACTGTCACGAGCTGAGCTTTCCACCCACTGTTCCTCTAGATAACACAGGGTGGTCATTTGAATAGAAGGGAAATCACAAAGATTTCACACCAAAGTGTACAAAGTAGCTAGGGACACATATAGACCTGCCATTCTTTTTGGGACCTACAATAATTTTATAATAAGGTAGAAGTTTGAAGGCCTAGCTGTAGAAGAGATGATATTAATTACAGATTATAACCAGCCTTAATAAATTACATTTTATTTGCTTATTTCAATAAAATGAACAGGCATCTTGCTTAGAGAGACACTTTACACACTTGTGTAAAGTGTCACTCCCAGGAACCTCAGATCTTAGAGGAGTGTGTGTGTGTGTGTGTGTGTGTGTGTGTGTGTGTGTGTGTGTGTGTGAATTTACATGTATATATGTTAGAAAAATGACAATGGTCTAATTCTCTTTGGTGAAGCCAACAAAAGAAATCATAACAGATTACATACTAAGAAAAGATTTAGATGGGTAGGTTTCATTTCAGCCACAAGAACACAAAATAAAATAATCTAGTGATAAATAATAAGGAATGAATGAAAAAGATGATGTTCATATTCAAAGTCCCTTAGCGTTGTCCATATAGACTTTTCATCAATTTTTTTAGCTATGTATATTCTTCATAGGGTAATTGTTCTCAAGTGTGTCTTGTACTCTGGCCAGATAAAAAGCCTGGATTGTAAGAGTGATTCATAAAATCTAATAAAACTATTCAGGTATTTTTATCTTCTATGGGTTACTTGGTAAATAAAAACCAATAGAAATCTATATTGTGTATCATAACAAATAAAAATAATATAATTTTATATCATTGCATGGATAATAACCTTTCAAAAACCTGATCTCTTAACCTCAGGATATCACCTTAAAAAAACAACTAGAAATTGGGCTTTGAAATTTACCTCCACATAGATTGACAGCAGTTTCCAATGGGTTTTGTTTGTTTGTTTGTTTTTGCAACTTCGATCCTGTTAGTGAAGTAGGAAAAGTTGAATCAGATCTCACAGCTGACCATGAGAAAGAACACAACTATAGAGTGAACCCAGCACACTTGTATGGTGAATTCCCACCAAAATGTGATGAATCGGAAATTACAGAGTCAAAACCAATCCGTTTGGAGAGTGAACATAGTATATTAGCAAGTAAATCCCAAATTGATCGAGAACACCTCACCATCCTACACTGAGTAACAAACAAACACTATACTTTCTAAAATGGAAGCCACTATCCACACATGGTTATTTATATTTCAATTTACTGCACATTAAATACAACTAAATTTTAGTCCTTCAGTGTCCCCAGGTACATTTCAGCTTGGAATCTTTTCATCACAGTAGAGGATCTAATAGACGTTGCTCCAATCCTCCCAAGTCCCATTTGCACTCCGTATTATAACATGCAGCAATGCAAGGAAGCTCTCTCCAATGTCACATGCAGTTAGTAACATGCACTTCGTTACTACTGAGGACTCCAGACAATAAGAAGAAAATAATTCACACAAGGTCACGGGTGACTTAAAGGAACAACGAGGGTACAATCCAGCTTCCTGCTGCAAGTCCCATTGTTCCTTTTGAACACCACGAAGTCAGCTAAATCTATACTGAGCACATACCGTAGCCAAAATAAATCTCACAAGTTAAGAAACTCAACAGAATTAAAAAAAAATAAAATGGAGGTTTTAATACAGAAAGTTCCTATGTGAAAATTTGACAGTACTGGAAATTAACACTAGATGTCAGGGCATCAAATTTGAAAAGCTAAACTTGATAGATCCAAAGATTGTATGCATTCAACAAGAAATGATCCATTTCTTCAGGATATTGCAAAATGTCACAACATGATAAACTATACCCGTTTTACTTGTCCCTGTGGGTGGCAGTGACATAATTTACCAGGTCCTTTCTTCTGATCTCTGATTAGAAAGAGAAGTAACTAATACATACTCATACATAAATATACAAAGATCAGCACATATATAAACACAAACACAGAGATATACATTCAAATACACATAAATACATTCAAACACTCACACACACTCTAAACTACCACACCTGGTGAAAAGAGAAATGATGGAATAGGTTAGTTATTACTCTATCAAAAGTCTAGTCTGTGCCTACCTCATAGTGAACATACTGAGAGCTCCTGCAATCTCACACTGACTACCTTTCATTTCATTTTATCCTTCATAACCCCCTAAGCATATACTAACAGTATGTCATTTTATAGATCAATGTGGTGGGCCTTAGTGTGGTTAAAACCTTTGCTCAACATTATACAGCTAGTAGAAAAGCAAGAAATGAACTTGTACCCCTGAATTTTGACACTGGAAGACACATTTTAAATGGGTTAGCTTCTTTTCGTTCTTTCTTTCTTTCTTTCTTTCTTTCTTTCTTTCTTTCTTTTTTGAGTCAGGGTTTCTCTGTGGCTTTGGAGGGTGTCTTGGAACTAGCTTTTGTAGACCAGGCTGTTCTCGAACTAACGGAGATCCTGCTGCCTCTGCCTCCCCAATGCTGGGATTAAAGGCGTGAGCCACCACTGCCTGGCAGGCCTCTTTTTTTCTAGGAACAAAAAATGATTGTTTTCTAAACCCCATGAGAGAAGATTAAAAGAGGAAAGTTTATATCTTATATCAGTACAAAAGCTATGTTACAATACAGCAAACAAACAACTAAAGACTAGTCCCTACATTTATCAGTTAAGTAAAACAAGAAAGCCTGTGTGGTCTATGTTACTATATATGTCTAAATAAAATGTCATTGTAAATATAAAAGAAGAAAGAGAATATATTTACTTTCTATAAACCTTCATTAAGTTTTGTTCATTATTTAGGAACATTTTTATCATTTTTATTTGTGTTTAGGAAGAAACTGAATTTACTACTTCTTGACTATAAAGAGACCAAAGTGGAATTATACTTCTATCTTGTGATGCTTGTCTAATATCTATCTGTAAGATGGCCTAGCTCCAGTGCATATGGAGAATGTCTTTGCTTTAGGTAATTTAAAAGAAAATATACAAACATAGGGCAAGGAATAAATGTTTAACCCCACCAGGAATATGACAATGTAGCAGGTTGTGTAGTCGGAGGCTTTTATATGCCTCACCCTACCCCACAGCCACTTAAAATATAGTCACTCAGAGGCTTAATATTAATTATAATTGTTTTGCTGATGGTTCAGGCTCATTATTGGCTAGCTCTTACATTTAAATTAACCCATTTCCACTCAACTGTGTATCATCACATTGCTGTGGTGTTATCTCATTTCTCCTTGCCTTGCTTTCTCAGCAGTTGCTGGTGTCTTCCTGACTCCACCCTTCTTCTCCCTGTATCTCTGTTTAGATTTCCTGCCTGGCTCTACTCTGCCTGGCTATTTGCTAAATCAGTTTCTTTATTATCCAATGGTGATAAAAACACATTCATAGCATACAGAAAGACATAGTAAAATTACATATAGCAAAACAGTTATCAAACAAGAATTAGTTACAATGATCTATTTGTATTTGACAAAATTAAAGAAAATACTCTATCATCTATCCTATCTTTGTGAGTCAAAAGTGTTATATCTGATTTATCTTTTATCATAACTAAGAAAAACTATAAATATAACTATCTACTCTTCAACTCCATCAAAGACCCCAGAAGGATATATTACCCAAGTAAATAGGAAGTGAATTGTAAGCAATTTCTAAAACTCTAGAAATGACAGAGACATCTAGCTGCCTGGGCAGTCACCAAAAGTTCTTCTGTAATGTTGGGGCAGCCATCTTCAGCCAATAGGACTAGAGTGTCTGGCAGGCTTCTCAATGAAGCAGGAAATTAGAAACTGTCCTGCCTATATTGGCATTTTGTCAGTCATTTTTCTCTATATCCTGCAGAATGTCTGGAAGACTCTTACATGAAGAAGGAATACTGAAGGACTGTCCCATCTTGTTTTGGCAAGGTCAGCAGTCACTTTTCTGTGGGTTCTGCATGTCCAGTTTATACAGCATACAGTTAAACAGTCCGGACAAGATTAGTTTCTTGCCCAAATGGTTAGCCTTGCCTCATTGAAAGCAAACTCCATAAGGAGCTTCTTTGATGCCCACCATCCTCTTGAAGTAATTGGTGCTTCCAGGAACAGACCTGTCTCACTGTTGAGAAAAGTCTAAGTTCTTAAAACATTTTAAATGCCATATTCTGTAGTTGTTTGAAGTATTTGAAGATTACCTATCTATCTGAAATATATCTCTGCATATCTAGAAAATCTAACAAACATGTAAATCTAATAAACATAAGTTTGACAATTATAGATGACTATTAATTTGTATTTCTTAACTATACATTTTTAAATGAGCTGCATAAACACAATAGCTTAAACAAGAACAGAAATATAAATGTAGTATAACAAAACTGACTTTCAATTTGCATCAATATACAAATATCCTTTAAACAAGAATAGAAACATATATACCATGTAACAAAATTAACTTTAAAGTTGTATCATTATACATAAATCCATGCTAATGTAAATTATCTCAGATTAATAGTTGTTTTTTATCCTATTTCCTATATTCCCCTAAATATAACAAACATCCATAACCTAACAAATAACCAAAGGCCATCCATACCACCACCAACTCTTGGGAATGTGAATGTCATTTTTTTTCAAACTGCTTCCTGCTGTCTGTGGACAAAGTATCTTTAGGGGCCCTAATAAGTTTTGAGAAAATGTCCAAGTCCTGGGAGACCAGTGGTAACCTTCATTGATAGGTATCACCTGTCAAGTTTCAGGAAGACTCCCTTGATCAAAGCTGATCTTTCTTAGCCTGAAACGAATCCATAGCCTCTTGTTTCCTGTGTAAACGAAAGTAAAACCTTCTCCAAAGCAATGCATCTTTTAAGTTCCATTTTACAAATATATTTTTTACTTGTTTTGAAGTTAAGGAATTTTTAAAATATTTAGGTCTCCCTTTCAATACCGTATCTTTCAGCTGCTGTCCTTTGCTTTTCATCAACCAAAAAATTCAAAATCAACATTACCAATACGGAGTCAGGTAGAAATATAAGGGTAAAGGCCTTACTTACAGAGCGACCTAGCCAGCCGTCGTGGCAGCAGTCTGTCCAACAAGCCGGAAAGGTGAAACCGAAAGCGAAACCCAGCTACCTGAACCTCTCACTCTATGTCTCCCTGCCCACGCCCTCCCAGGGGTGGTCAGACACACCTGTAGCCAGTCCCGAAGTAGGCGTGGCTATAGCTTCCCCAACAGAATACTACAGGATCCAGACTCCCTGTGTATTTTCCATCTTCATGTGGCTTTTCTTCTTTTATATTACTTTTACTGTTTCTTTGAAGACTTTATTTTTAAACTATTTTTATAACTGCCTATACTCCTTTTCCTCTCTCTCCCAAGTCTACGTACATTTTTTTTCAAACAACTGAGACCAATTTAGAGGTTTCTTTTTGTCTGAATATGTCTTTGTTGTGCATCTGTAATCATTTTCTGATCTAAACAGTTTAACTGCTTCAAACTGTTAAGCGGGCATGGCTAGGACAGAGCAGCCACTTTGGCTGTTGGTTCCATCCTGCTCCTGCTCGGCTTTTCAACATGATGCTATCAGGTAGCATGCAGCCAGACCACAGACATTTTTGTCTGTATGAGTAAAAGCTAAATCCCGCCACACAGAATGCTGTGCAACTTGGAGATGTTTCTGTGTACGGAATCTGCCATGCTGTGCTCAAGCATGGC